AAAAAAAAGAAAAGAATATATCCAATATCGATAATATTACCCGCTCGCGGGGATTATTATCGTCTACCTTGAGCTGCGTCGAGCGTACGAAAATAGCGCTCGGCCTGTTTCATTGTAGTATGAACTTGTACTTGTTTCCAGGGATACGTAGGGACGCGAGAGGGCGAGGGTTCGCAAGAGAATGTGGTCCGAAAACATCTTGACGTTGTAACGACTCGTTGATTCTCGTTTATCAGATTTCTTATTCCGTACGAGTCGCTACGTTGTCGACGAGTGCCGGGTCCGAACTTGCGAGGAAGCTAGAAGAAGGACGTCGCTGCGACGGCCCGGACTATTTTTTTTGCTCTTTCCCTTCGGTCCGAAGAGGCGACTGCGGAGCTTTCGTTTTCGCTTTCCGTTGTCCCCCCTCTATCCTACGTCTCGACTCGACTCGACTCGACTCGACCCGCGAGGCGCTCGCCGACGTTCCCAGCGGCGCTTCGCGGCGCGATTTAGCCCGATATTGATTTCCGTTTCGTCGACGATTCCGTTCGGAGCGAGTTCTGTCTAGATCTATCCGCTAGAGAATAACGCGAAGTCGTACCATCCAAATCGTCGCCCGCGCGGGGGCGACAGTTACCGTTGACTCCTGAAGATATTAACCCCATCCCACCCCCCAGCCACCCAGAAATCCCAGAAGCTCGTTAAAAAGAAGACGCTAGTATATTTGGGAAAAATTTAAAGAGAAGAAAATACTGAACAAAAAAAGAAAAAGAAATAAGAGAAGAGTAAAAAAAAAAGTAATAATCGCAAGATGTAGGTAATAGACGAGAGATATTTTTGCAAATCATGCAGCCACCCGTTCGGAATTCTTTGTACGTTGTTCGTGTTCGGTGATCGACCCAAACCTGGAACAAGTGGGAAACGCGTAGATGATAGTCTCAGCCAGTGTCCGACGGATAGAGAAGAAAGAAAAGGATATTTCGTTAACGGGATCTTGCCTCATTAAATAGATACATCCGGAACATGCACTATCCATCATATAGATATATCTATAAATATATTTATATAAATATTATATTTATATAAATATATATATATATATTATATATAGTATATATTAATAGACATGTTCTAAATCGCATCGGTAACCAGATCAGTAGAGACGTTATTTATTTAAAGCGATTTCGATGGAGGGTCAAGATAGAGAAAGTGGAAGAGTAGCGAGGAGTGTGCCGAGCAGCCCAGGCAGGAGACAAAAGCGCTGTCCCTATCGAACGACAACGCCTTCCCGTTGCTTCCCACGTTAGTGCACGTTTCGGATTCAAGGGGGAATGTCGAAGGAAGAAGGGCGCCTCCGTACCGGAGGCTTTGTACATATGTATGTAGCACGATAAGATAGTCTTATTGTTCTGATGATCGACGTCTCTGCCACTCGGTTGCGCAGCTCCGCAATACGATCTCGTTGTACTGCGTTTCCAACACACTATTTTATCGCGTGACCAAGCTGACAGCTGGGGGAGAAGATCGTCCGTCGTCTATCTCGGTCGAGGAATCAAAGGATATACAGTATTTTATTAGCCACTATAGTCGGCGCAAAATCAGTTTACGGCTCAAGGCCACTGTCTTTGCTTCCCCAAATGATCCCACTCCTCGTTCCTCCGCCCATACTCGATGCCACGCGTTCGAACCGGAAACGAAGAAATTTCTTATTGGGCAAGTCGCTTTACGGGTCTATAAAATTCACCGTCTAAAACTCGGGTGTGTAGCAAAGAAAAGAAAAAAAAAGTTGAATAAAGTTTAATGGGGTTTTCATGTTATTCGACATCTGACGGCACTTTTAATATGAATATATAAATGTAGTAATAAATGCAGGCCGTTCGTCGAGCCGGATTGATAGAAATATATTAATGAAAAAAGCGTTCGCTCCGTCTTCAGCGAAACGAGGAACAAGTTTCGAGCGTAGCAAAGCGAGGAGGCGTTGTAACGTTTAAGATTCGTATACAGGTGGAAGCGATTTTGAGCCGACCAAACGCGTTTGCCTTCTCGAAACAGACCACGGACGTGATTCTCGAACCGATTCCAGTTTATAAGGGAACTAGCAGCGACGTTTGTCGAATAGTCGAAGCGAACGGTGGCGCGAAACGACAAGGGAAACAGCTTTCTTTTCCTCGAGCTAGAGAGTTCTTCCACTAGATCGCCCGGGTAGAGTTCTTAGTCGAGCCGTTCCACGATCGAGCCTGAGCTGTGATAACTTCCGCGGGACGTCGGCACTTAATCCACGTTGTTTGTAAACTAATGTATTTTATAAAGTATATTATATATACATATATATATATAGAAAGAGAGAGAGTGAGAGTGCGAGCGAGAGAGAGAGAGAAAGAGAGAAAGAGAGAAAGAGAGAAAGAAGAGATTCCTTGTAAGAACGAGAGGACAGAGAAACGAGCGACGACGGCAGTCATCGTGTGTATATACAGGGTGGTCGCGAACGAACAAGAAATTTCAATGGACGTTTTCGTTTTCTTTATTATTTTCTGTTTTCATGTCGCGGCAAGGTTCGCGCGCCATCCTGCCACGGAAGATTCCCACGGCGAAAAATGGAACGCGAGAGAGTGATAGAGTGCGAGAGAGGGAGAGAGAGAGAGAGAGAGAGA